GTGGTGCGCACCTGTAGTTCCAGCTACTTGCGCCATAGCACTCCAGCTTAGGCTACAGAGTGAGACTCCATCTCAAAAAAAAAAAGAGATTAAATGGGTTAAGGTATATAACACACCTGGTGCCACCCCTTCCTTTTCTTTTCCCACTGAGCCTTTGACATTTAGTTTCACTGCAGTCAGGTATAAGCAAGTACATGACTTTCCTGTACCACCCAACTCACATGCAAAAGTCTCACAGAGGGACATGAAGATCTGCAAGAACAAATGTTAAAACAGATGTGCATTTAACAAGGATGTTGTTTATCTTGAAATTCTCATCACTGCATCATTGCTACCGCCCAAGGGTTGAATTAAGGGCAAAACATTGCAGAGACAGATTTGAAATTACCTAATTATCCTAGACATGCTGTAATATTCCCTTTTATAATGCCTGGCTCAAAAAGCTTGATGTCAGGTTACAGAACTGTATGCATACTTTGATTGTAATTGTGTTAACAAAACTAAAAAATCTTGCATACAATCAAGACCAGAAAGAAATCCAGATGCTAACTGTTGTTTTGTTAAGTAATAAAATTGTGGTAAGCAATGCTTTTTCTCTCCTTTTTGCTTTTTTTTTTTCTTTTTCTTATTTGTAATGTGACAATTCTTTATTACTTGGAAAGTACATTTTATGAGAACTGTGAAAACTCGGAAAGAAGTTCAAAGTATTTTACATTTAATAACATCTAGTTAATCCTTATGATATCCAGATAAGGTGCTACTTTACATCTTATGAAATAGCACAAGCCTTAGGCAAACTTCTGCAGTAGAAGAAATGTATTCTGAGACTTCTATCCTGCTTGTTTTTAAGAAATCTTTTCTCCCAGAAACCTGGTGTCCAGTGTCCCTCTCAAATCTGCTAAAGGACAGTAGCTTAAAGATTTACTTATCTCAGGGGATTTGCATTTTTATAGCCATCAATGGCATATAATTTGGAATTAGAGGCACAGGCAAGCAGGCCTTCCGAATCTCTGTGAGCCACAAGACCTGATGGCACCCTGAAATCAAACTTCTGTAGACTGGGAGCCTTGATGACCGCTGTTCCCCAGTTCTGACAGATCAAAGCTGTTGCCAATTTGTTAACCAGAGGCAATGATACAAATGGAAGATGCAACTATTCATTCTGAGGGACCCATAAAAGTCTGATTAATCTAAGGAGCAGTCATTGCCCAAGCAATTAAGGAGAATATTTTTGGAAAGGCAGACATCAGAAGCTAAGCAGAGTACAAATTTCCGCCCTCTACTTACGGTGTTAATTAGATCAGCTCTCACTCTTTGTAGATGCTGCCCTGCTCGAAAGCACTGCTTATTTAGCTGGGAGTCAGGAGAACCCAAACCCTCCCTGGGCATAGACAAATTGTAATTTTATAGCAGACAGCCTCTAAAATGTTTCTACATCCAAAATAGTTGACACCGCCAGGCGCAGTGACTCATGCCTCTAATCCCAGCACTATGGGAGGCTGAGGCAGGAGGATTGCTTGAGCCTAGGAGTTCAAGACCAGCCTGGGCGACATATTATTTAAAGAGACGTTGTCTCTTTAAATAGTAATAAAAAGGCCGGGTGCGGTGGCTCACGTCTGTAAACCCAGCACTTTGGGAGGCCGAAGCAGGGGCATCACCTGAGGTCAGGAGTTCAAGACCAGCCTGACCAACATGGAGAAACCCTGTCTCTACTAAAAATACAAAATCAGCTGGGCGTAGTGGCATGTGCCTGTAATCCCAGCTACTCGGGAGGCTGAGGCAGGAGAATCACTTGAACCCGGGAGGCGGACGCTGCACTGGGCTGAGATTGTGCCATTGCACTCCAGCCTAGGCAACAAGAACGAAACTGCCGTCCCCCAGAAAATAATAATAAAAACAATAATAAATTAGCCAGGCGTGGTGGCGTACCTGTAGTCCCAGCTACTTGGGAAGCTGAAGTGGGAGGACCACCTGAGCCCAGGAAGTGGAGGCTTCAGTGAGTCATGATTGCACCACTGCACTCCAGCCTGAAGCCTATCTGAAAAGGAAATAAAAGAAAGAAAAATTGACACCTATAAAGAAACTCACATACTTATTATAGTCTAGAAATGTGCTGTCCAGTAAGGTAGCCACTAGCCATATGTGGCTATCTAAATTTACTAAAATAAAATTTTAAATTCACTTCCTTAGTGACACTAGCCACGTTTCAAGTGTTCAGTAGCCACATGAGGCTAGTGGCTACTGTATTGGATAGTGGAGATACAGAACATGTCTATCATCACACAAAGTTCTATTGGACAGTGCTGGTCCAGAAGAGAATACCTTCAAATTGCCTTTTTGGTAGAGGCATGTATAAGCCGGCACTTCCACATTCTGTAAAGGCATAAAGCGGCTCCCTACCCCAGGGCATGTCTGTACAGTCATTACATGGTCTGCCTTCAGCACTTCTTTCTACTTAATCTCTAAATCTCTAAATCTTGACACGCACATCACACACAACACAAACTCTATTTCAGCCCACCTCCCTCCTCTTCATTGACTCTTCATGGTAGGTTTAGTTCCCATAATCCACGAAAATGCCTCACTCCTTGTCACTAGAGCTTGTTCTGGAAACCTGCCTTCAGTGTAACAAGCTGGAATGTGAAGAGGGATGCATCTATCTGTGCTGCTGAGTCATTGAATTGACTGAAACTTCAAGGACTAGGGGGTGCTGAGCAGAAAGGAAAACACACAATCCTTTCTGTTAGAGATTTGCTCTTTTCGTATTGGCATGTAAACAAGTAAGTCACTAAGTGAACTGACGTCACAATTTAGTGTTAGGAAGATGCTTTTCCCAGGCACGATTTGAACTCAGTGGTTTCCTGAATCTAGTAAAGTAAGCTACTTTGTTTTCTCTTAATTTTGCCTAATTTTAAAGCTTTCTCTTTTTATGAAGACAAAAATAAATCTCTCTAGACCTTTTTCGTTTCGCAGGATTATCATTAAAATTATCACTAACTTTTAGATATTCCAGCACGCATCGGATGACTCTGAAGCCGGTTGGGCAGTGGAGATCGGGAAGAACATGAAAAAGCTTCAAAGCTTTTGGTTGAAGACATCAGGAGATGTAAACTCCAAACGCGGGCTTTACTTCTCCCCCGCACCCCTCCCCGCAAACCCATGCCTACTCGTTTGACTGCTCAGCAATTCTGAGGCCAACGATTTGCAACGGCGAGGAGCAGGGGCTGGTGAGTCAAGGACTGGGCATGGAGTCAGGACTCTTAGGTGCACTGACTCACAGCAGAGCCTTGAGGAAGTCGCTTTGCCTCCCACGTGTCTCCCCTCACCTGCCAGAGGCGGAGGGGAGGCGGGGCTGTGCTAGAAAACGTCCGTTTCGCACCGATTTATGTTACAGATGGGCAGACCTGAATTTTAAAAGACCCTCAGAGTTACACAGCAAATGAGCCATCAGTGAATGCCTGTGTCCCGCCTGCGCTCCGGAGAACCCCAGCCCTGCCTCGGGGGCTCGGGCGGTGGGTGTGGGCTCCGAGACTCGGACAGCACCTTGGCGTGGCAGGAGCAGGCGGAGATGCGCACGGAGGTTGGAAGTTCACCTCCTCCGGGTCTCGGGCGCCACGGCTGCCCGTACCTGTTCCAGCAAGGGTCAGCCAGGGACTGCCGCGCTACTGATTTTCCCTTCGCTCTTGGGTCCCAACTCCCGGGCTCTCCGGGCTGGGGAGGCGGTGGGGTGTGGTCGAGGCCGGGGCTCGCCACCTGCGGCGGCTTCCACCTGATCGATTTGCTTTCTCGCCTTTAATCTTCTCCAATCCCGAAAGCACCCCAGTAGAGCGCCCCCGCAGCCCGCCTCGAGCCTGACTCATAGGCAGACGCTGACTGGGGAAGCGAGCGGTCGTCCGTGTGTGAGGCAGGGTAATAGACCGGAGGACTCGGACACAGGGGCGCCCTGGAGGCGGCGGCTACCTCGGAAGCTGGGGGCGCGCCCGGGCCACCCCGCACCGCGCAGAAGCCCAGCGCGCACGCGCGCCTCCAGCCGCCCCGCGCGTTCCCCCGCCCCGCGCCGCGTCCCCCCACCTCGGGAGAGGGCGGCCAGGCGCAGGGAGCGTGCGCGCGGCCCGCCCCGGGCGCGGGCGGAGGGAGGAGGAGGCGGCGCGCGCGGCGCTCAGCCCGCAGAAGCCGGCGGCCGCGCAGTAGGACGCAGCCCTATCCGAGACCCGCGCCGCGCCGGTAGGGGACCCGCAGGCCCGGGGGGGGGGGTTGTGGGGAGGCTGTTGGGGGGGGGGCGGGAGGGTGGGACTTCGCGCTTCGGGTCCCGGGGCGCAGGGGGCACCCAGAGGCCCGCGCGACCCCGCCTCTGGAAACTTTGTGCCGGCGCCCCCACCTGCTCCCCTGCGGTCCTTGACTCTTCGGGGCGGCGCAGGGAGGAGAGGCCCGGGAACCCCGCAGCGCACCCTTGCCGGCCCTGGGCGTGCGCCCCCTGCTGCTCCCCCGCCGCGCCACGCCGCCTCCGCGACCCTGTCCGTGTGCCCCGGGGCTCCAGCATCCCCGGCCGCGCCTCCCCTCCGCCGCCTGCCAACCCCGCGGAGGCCGCCCCGTCCCGCTGGCATCCACCCGCTCTGGAGCGCGCCGCGGCTTTTTGCATCTCTCGGAGGTTTCTTGAGCATGGATAGAAGCAACTTGACTTTCAGCGATGCCAAGTCTCCAACTTGAGTCTTCCTCTGCGGTGGTAGATGGGTGTGCGCGGTGCTAACATCTGTCTTTTTATTTCTCCTAAGTACCCTTGCTCCGGAGCGAAGTTGAGTTATTTTCTGTAGAGAGGAGGTGCGTGCTGTGGCCGCCTTAAGTGGATTGTATAACTGTACTTTATTTAGGTGGATGTTGCCAGTGGTACCAGCCAGTGTTATGGTAACTGGGCATCCCAGAGGCTAGGGAAGGAGGAGCGACTTACAAATGCAGTTGTACTATGCAGGGTTTTTTGTTTTTTGTTTTTAAGCCACCTTGTACTTTCTAACTAGCAGGACCTTCGAACATTTAACGTGTGTTAACTCGTTAGCTGTTCATTATGGTTTTATAAGAGAGGGAGTTGGAGAGCATTACCATCCCGTTTTACAGATGTAAAAACGAAGGCGAAGAGCAAACTCCGGGTTCCTTAGTAAGCTTAAAGGAATAGGGACCAAGAGATTTAACGCAGAGTCTCCTGGAATTCCTAGTCCCTAAGGCCACTCAGAAGTATAATGGAATGTTGGACCGTCTTCCCTGACATTCTACAGAGCACTTAAGAGTCAGAGAGGCCGAGGCCAGCCGGCAACTCCAGGCCTGAGACTCAGCTCTGCCACAAAGTTAAGTCACACTGGACAAGTCACAGTTTCTCTCCGCTCATTTCCTTCCTGCTCTCTCAAAACAGGGGAACAAAGGTGCTGTATTCTTTGCAGAGTCGTGCGTGTGTCTGGAAGCTCCACTCCCTTGAGCTGCAATTTGGTTATTGTTAGTTGTTGTGGACTCATAAAGGACCCCAGTCTTGGTTCCCTTGAGAAACGCAGGGAAGGAGGCACCCCCACAGTGAACGCCTCTTCTTCTCCAGAGACGCCTGAGAATTCGCATCAGGGACACTTCACATCAGGGACAGGCCGGGGCAGAGACCCTGACCTGGGGGAGGGACGAGGGTTGCCACGAGGAGGTAGGAAGGAGCCCTGCACAGGCGGCTTGACACATGGGCCCTATTCCTGCCTCCAGCTCTGACTCATCTTCTGACGCTTGGGGGAGGAGAGGTAGTTGCTTGATATTTTTGGCTTTCCCCCATAAAACTGGAGACAGTTTCCTTCATTCCAAGTCGTTTTAATGTCAGTGTTGAACGTGTCTGTCCTGAGTTCTCATCTGAAAGCTTTCATATCGGTTGACTGCAGGTATGAATTTTGTAATAATAATTAATAGAATGGCGTAAATGTATATTCATATCATAAAAAATTAGCCAAGTATATTAAGTCCAGGAAATCCTTTAAGACTTTAATGTTTTTAAAAGGTGGGCTTTTGGGAGGGCTGTGTTTGATCGGTTCCTTTGCAGTTGGGATTTTAAGGCAAAATGGATTAAAAATGCTTTTCCCAAAATCACAAGGAATACATTAACCATTCTCTGTGACATTTAAACTTTACTAATAAGGTTAAAGCTTTCTTTTGAACCTCTTTCTCAAAAGTAACTGCCAAGTGCGTCTTTATCGGTTTGTGTGTATCTTTTTAGACTTTTCTAAGCATTTTTATAAACGTCTGTTTGCACAAAGTGGTTTTTTAACTGAAATTAATTATTTTAAAACTGACTTGTCCTGTTCATAAAGATTTGGCTTCTGTCAAGAACAAGTAACGTGTTTAAGTACAACTGTTCCTAAAGTTTTAATAATCCTGATAGACGGTGTTACTTCTCAGGGCAAGGGGCAAATGACCCCTTTTTAAACAACTTCAAAGTAGTAGAATCATTACGATCCTAGGTTTTACTCTTAGGTGCAGAAGAAAACTTTTCCTATTAAAAAAAAAAAATCTAGGACTACTAGCATAGTATCTTTGCTTATAAAGAAATGTCAAAGGGAGTGGAAGGCAGGGAGAGTTGCTAAAGCAACCGAGGCCTGGGTATAAACTTACAGAGCTAACATTTAAGATGGCTTTATTATTTATGAAAGCTTCACTTCACCTGGGTGAAGACAAAGGAAAGTTAATGTGGGCACTCTTCAAATCAGTAATTTCAGGAAATGGATGGGTTAAAACAAAATTCATGTCAGGAGTCTGTGGATTTATGTATTATACATTTACCGAGGACTTTTACCATGCTCAAGGTGCTGTGCCTGAATACCGAGGAAGAAGGCAAGTAAGGTCGGTCTCTGACCTTATGAAGCTGACAGCAAAAAGTGACATTCAGAGAGGGTTGGCCAGAATTGTTGTCATGGCTCTGAATTCCCAGAAATCAACGTTAGATTTATTGAATTGTGAATTATGCACGGATAATTTGATGGGTTATTTTAACGAAAACCTAAGTGTAACTGTCTTGCAGGTCAAGAATCTCACTCCACACTCTCCCCCTCCCCCAGAGGTCCTAGCCAGAAACTACTCTGACTTTTATGGAAATCACTTCCTTCTTTTCTATAGTTTTGATCCCTTAAATATAAATCCCTAATTGACATAGTTTTATTTTGTTTTTTAACCTCAGTGCAAACTAAAAGTAGATACTCTTGTGAATCCTTTCTGGTCGGCATCGTGTGTGTGTGTGTGTGTGTGTATGTATGTATATATACATGCACATATATAATTTTTTGTTTGAATTTCTGCAGCATACTATTTTAAAAGATTTATCCATGTTGTTGCCTATGCCTGTAGTTGTTTTTGTTTTTTTAATTTTTTTAGAGACAGGGTCTCACTATATTGCCCAGGCTGGTCTTGAACTCCTGGGCTCAAGGGATCCTCCTGCCTGGGCCTCCCAAAGTGCTGGGATTACAGGTGTGAGCCACCACACCCAGCCCAGTTAGTACATTTTTGTCTTATGAACATACCACAAATTACCTGTCCACTGTTGATGGACATCTGGGTCGTTTCTGGTCTGGGGCAATTATGAACAGCCCTGAGTCAGGTGTGCATACCTTCAGCTTTACTAGTTGATACCTGGTTTCCAAAGTGGTGGCACCAATTTACATTCCTTCAGGGGTGTCAGCCTTGAGTCTGTAAGTCACTGTATTTGCTGTTTAACCACAATTATGCTTGAATATTTCCTGAATGAATGAATAAAGGTCCCCAGGTAGTCTGATCCCTGGCCTGTCACGTACCAGCGTATTTATATTTAGTTATATGGTTTGGACTAACCACCCAAACACCAGAAGTGGTTTTCCCACTGTGTTTGGTTGACAAATATCTAATGGAATCCTTTCATCAATCTTTTTTTTTTTTTTTTTTTAGAACAGATGAGTAGTTATAGGACATTTTAAATATGCAAAATGAAGTACTAAAAATAAGTGTCTAGTACCTAGAAGTCTTTTAAGGCTTTTGAATGAATCCTATCTCTGGTGAATGCTTCTATTGTGCCCAGCCCTCAATGTGTAGGACAGTGTATTGTACAGGAACCCAGGCCTATCCTTGTGAAAGTACCCTCTGAGGACGAGACTCACATCATACGCTTGTGTGCCTGTTTGTAATCCTTAAGAGGCACTGTGCACAGACCCTAACACGTGCTTCTTGGCAATTCCAAAGTAATCACAGACTCTGTGCTACAGGAATCAATGACTCTTTTAAATCTTTTTTTTTTTTTTTTTTTTTTTGAGATGGAGTCTCACTCTGTTGCCCAGGCTGGAGTGCAGTGGCGCGCAGTCTCGGCTCACTGCAAGGTCTGCCTCCCGGATTCATGCCATTGTTCTGCCTCAGCCTCCCGAGTAGCTGGGACTACAGGCGCCCGCCACCGCGCCCTGCAAATTTTTTGTATTTTTTAGTAGAGACGGGGTTTCACCGTGTTAGCCAGGATGGTCTCGATCTCCTGACCTCGTGATCCGCCCGCCTCGGCCTCCCAAAGTGCTGGGATTACAGGCGTGAGCCACCGCGCCCGGCCTTTAAATCTTTTAAATGTATTTTTCTCCAAATTTTCCTTTACCTGAGAAAGTAGAAGTAGCTTCGAGCTGGGTTTTTGTCATTTTTGTTCGTTTTCTTTGTAAGAGATGGAGTCTAGCAATGTGGCTCAGGCTGGCCTTGACCTCCTGTGCTCAAGGGATCCTCCCACCTCAGCCTCCTAAGAGCTGGGACTGCAGCCTGTGCCACACCCAGCCTGAATTCCTGCTTTCTGAACAGAGTTGCCAGGTTCACTTCGATTGCCTGTGTTTAGTTTTGCCAGGTGGATTTAAAGTGTGTGTGTGAGAGAATGAGAAAGAGGAGTAGGAGGGAGGGTGTGGAGAGAGATGGGCAGTTCACCTGAGGACAGCTGTTAAATTCAGGTGTTCGTTGAGTACTTACCATGTGCCTAGTATTATGTGCTGTGTTTCTGCCCTGAGAGCAGAATGTTATGCAATTCTGTAGGTTTACAAAATACCTCGGGAATCCTTTTTAGCTGGAGGGATGATGGAAGAACACTAGCACAAAGACTGAGATTTGTGGATCCTTTTTATTTCTTCTCTAAAGCATCTTGGAAAATAGCTAAATCACTCTATTTTCAGTCTTTATTTACATAAGTCACAAAGACTTTTTTGCTCATTATAGTAAAGATTTTTTTTTCAGATTCTCTAAAATGATCATAATTTTAGAAACCACATGCAGATAAATTAGAAGTTTTCAAGCTGTGTTTGGTTGACAAATATCTAATGGAATCCTTTCATCAATCTTTTTTTTTTTTTTTTTTAGAACAGATGAGTAGTTATAGGACATTTTAAATATGCAAAATGAAGTACTAAAAATAAGTGTCTAGTACCTAGAAGT